ATCGGTAGTTCCGTATATCTTGGATTGTTTGTAATGCAAATATTTGCTCGCCTCCACCTCGAAATAGTTCTGAATACACGGCCGTAATGCCAAAATATTTCCCGTTCGATGATCTTTCTCTCTCTCTCTTTCTCTTTCTCTCTCTCTCGATCTCTCTCTCTTTCTCTATCTATCTATCTATCTATCTATCTATCTATCTATCTATCTATCTATCTATCTATCTATCTATCTATCTGTCTGTCTGTCTATTTATCTATCTATCTATCTATTTATCTATCTATCTATTCTATCTATCTATCTATCTATCTATCTATCTATATATCTATCTATCTATCTATTCTATCTATCTATCTAGCTATCTATCTATCTATCTATCTATCTATCTATCTATCTGTCTGTCTGTCTATTTCTCTCTCTCCCTCTTTTGTCTTAACGAGCACTCTGATCTCGGTCGAATCTTCGCTGTTTTTTGCTCTATTACGTAATTTCCTACTTACGCACGATATTGTCGTTGTAAATTGGCGAACATCTATCAATGTACGATTCGTTCTAAGACGAGCAGTTCAATAAAAAAAACTTGGCGATTTGAAACAAACGAAAAATGTATATATCTTTAGAAGTTAAATTCGTTCGTATTTAAGAAGAATATCCATTCTTTTTTTTTTTTTTTTTTTTTTTTTTTTTTTTTTTTTTTTATAAGAATATCAAATTCATATAATATTAAATTCATTCGGTCATAACCAGTCATAAAACTTTTGTTTGTAAAATTATCAAAAGGAATGATTTGCAATCTTTTTACCATACGTCTTCTTAGTCTCGACGAGTTATACCATGAATAATAAATAAATAATAATCTTAGGATCATATGAGTATTTTGAAATAGAATTGGCACATGATACATATCCTTTTGTTCTCCGAGAATCATAGTGATTTTTTTTAACAAGCAGTCCTTTCCATACATCAAAATTGTAAGTTATAAAATATAAATAATATGTAAAAATATGTCTGAGTGAGAGTGAGAGAGAGATAGAGAAAGAGAAAGAGAAAGAGAAAGAGAGAGAGAGAGAGAGAGAGAGAGAGAGAGAGAGAGAGAGAGAGAGAGAGAGAGAGAGAGAGAGAGAGAGAGAGAGAGAGAGAGAGAGAGAGAGAGAGAGAGAGAGAGAGAGAGAGAGAGAGAGAGAGAGAGAAAACTTGCGTATATGAAAGTGAGTGTGTTTGTGTGAGGGAGAGAGAGAGAGAGAGAGAGAGAGAGAGAGAGAGAGAGAGAGAGAGAGAGAGAGAGAGAGAGAGAGAGAGAGAGAAAAACTTGTGTATATAAGAATGAGAGAGATAGGAGGAGGGTACACGATGAAATATATTTGGGCAAACGTTTCCGTTGGAAAGAAGAGTTACGTGTGGTGAATGAGAAACATGAAGGAGTCTAGCAAGAAGAGTAATACCGGCGAATTCTTTTGATAAAGTGCCGTCTGTCCGTTGCTTTTGAGTTATTACGACGATCTGAGCACTCATGTAATATACGTATGATATGTAGGTATGTATTGTACATACACAACGACGTACACTTTATTTCTTTAGATTAGGGAGTATACAGGGTGGTCCAATGACTATTAATTGAAATTAGGTGTATTTGAAATGTTTAAAACGTGCATAAAATATATAATAATTACTTATCTATATGATTTCATATAGTAAGAATTTTTTTTTTGTTATAAATGAAGGTATTAAGGATATCTTAATGCTTAAGTTGGTTGTAGTTTTCTACTCTTAAGAAAAAAGAGAAAGAAAAGAAGAAAAAAAATTGCTGAAAGTAATTAGACTACGAAATTACGGGACTATGAACAATTTTTATAAGACAAATTTTTCGTAGTCTCAAATTACTTTGGAGTTTTTAATACAGACTACTTTGGCCCACTCTATATGCGTCATATTCGAATTGTGGAGGGAACTCTCACCGCCTCGGGTCAAATTCGGTCGTTTCTCCATGGGACGTGTTAATGCTACCGATATATAATACACAAGCTTTTAGACTTTCTTTTCTAAATCGTAGAACGGTTATTAATCACTCGTTTGTATTGTATTAATCGATTAGTTTTTTTCTCATATCCAGTTCATCTAAAAGAATCTGTAATTATCATGTACTGCAGTTGTTGATACCATTTTTACACGATGTTGAAATTTCTGACATTCCAAAGTTATTATGATACATCATTGTGTTCGAGTGATTCTATTAAAAATAGATCTTTTTTTTTTTTTTTTTTTTTTTTTTGTCAAATTAAAAATAAAGATCATACATATAAATAAAAGAGGGTCGAAAACATCTAAGTATTTTTAACAATCTGTTGATCTCTTTGGAGGCTTTTTAATTTTTTTTCGGATTTTCAATTTTCAAATCTAAGTACAAGCTGGAAAAGAATAAATGATTTTTAAAATCATCTAGGAACTTTTGATCTTACTTAAATTTTTGATCTACTTTCCCTGTATAATGAATAATAATAATAATAATAATAATAATAATAATAATAATAATAATAATAATAATAATAAAAATAATTTTGTTAAAATTTAAAAATTATTTGAAAAATGTTAATGAAACTTTAAGATTGTTTCATATACGTTAATATTTAATATTTGTTTATCTTTCTTTCTTGTTTTTAGTTATGTAGATATTCAGAAATATACAATATCGTATAATTTGGGATGCGCTCGTTCGTTCAATATTTTCATTTTTTTTCTCCACCGAGAAATCTCTTTATATACATAAATACATATAATTACAATTCCATATCCCATATTCTTTGTATGGTAAGGTATAAACAGGTTATTCATACGACCATAGAATTTTTTTCGCGATATTTTCAAGACCAAAAATATCATCAACGAACTATGGAGATAACGAGAGATTTTTTTTTTACTTACGATAAAAGCCATGTAAAATGTAAAAATTAAATTCAGCGATACTAGAAGAAACTCGATTCCTAACGGAGCAAACAACAGAAAACAATTTTTTTTTTCTTTTCTTCTTTCTTTTTACGAAGGCTCATTTATGTAAATTATAGATTGGAGTTTGAATAGCGGAGAAAAACTAGTTAATTAAGATAGATAAATATAACTGAAAATGAGTTTTTAATGTGTTCTGATATAAGCACGGACAACAATCGGTTCCGGTATTGGATGGATATATAATATAATCATACGTTCTTTTTCTATTTCTCTCTCTCTCTCTCTCTCTTTCTCTCGCTCTCTCTCTCTCTCTCTCTTTCTCTCGCTCTCTCTCTCTCTCTCTCTTTCTCTCGCTCTCTCTCTCTCTCTCTCTCTCTCTCTCTCTCTCTATATATATATATATATATATATATATATACATATATATATTTATTTATTTCTATCGAAGATCCCTCTTAACCTTCCAACTAGCATGTTTGTACCAGATTGATCGTTCACTCGTATCGAGGCACGTTCGCTACTTTGCGGAAAACTTTTTCTTTTTCATGTTATCTCGATTGAATGCACTACGTTACGGTTGCGATTCGAAGGTTAAGCGATTCATTGGATGCTGAACACAGACTATCATAGGCACGAGTATAAACGCGAGCGCGCGCACTTATGCGCATTTATACCAGTGTACTCAATGTGACAACCTTGATTCACAATGAGTAAATGTGCAATGAGTAAAAAGGGAAACGTGGAAACTCGTTAGATTTTTTTTTACATATATCTAATGAAGCAGTCGTACTGTATGGAGGAGTTATCGTCCATGATAATTCATGACATATATAATAGGATAAACGCGTGTATGAATTAGATCTCTCTTCTCTTTCTCTTTCTCTTTCTCTCTGTGTCTCTATCTCTATCTCTTTCTATCATTTGAAGAACACGATTTATGTAATAATCTCTTGCTATGTATAATTGTGTATATGTGATTCGTAAATGATTTTTGATATAATTGGATGAATTTCTACTATATTGATAATAGAAATGATTATTTAAATCTGAAATTTTTATTTCTTAATTATGCTTTTCAGTCTTGAGAAATAAAACACAAATGTTTTGAATGATGTTAACGATGAAAAATACGAGAAAGAATATTTAACGATAGTCTAATGACAGAAGATAATAAACAAATTCATTTTTTTTTTTCGATTATTTAGGTCGAGATAATATTTAGCGAGTGAGTTCAATAATGTATCTCTTATTTAATTATTGTTATAAACATTGCCATATGAATTAACAAATGATGCTATATTGAATATATAATTTATTTAATAAAAAAATCAAAACATGTAAAAAACGACATGACATATTGGAAAATTTGGAAAATATTGTGAAATGTAGAACAAAGTTTTACTTACGATATGATCTCTTTTTTTTTCTTTAGTCCCGAACGAGACATCGTTATCTTTTATTTCAAGCATAATCAAAATTTGCGATCTTGTCGTGGTAATTTGATGTTTGATTTATTTGTACTGTTATCGATCCACATGAGTATTGTCGCCATACCTCAATGTTTTTTTATTTTCTCTTGGTCAAAGATACTTCATTGTTTTATGGCAAAGAAGTAAAGTTTTATTCACTGATCGGTAGAAAAGGAAAGAATGTCATATCGACTTGAAAATCGAAACGATTCTATTGCTATTATTGGTACGAAAGATATTTTAAGATCTTTGTCTTGGTTTTTTGTTTGTAGAAAGAGAGAGAGAGAGAGAGAGAGAGAGAGAGAGAGAGAGAGAGAGAGAGAGAGAGAGAGAGAGAGAGTTAGAAAATTAAAAGAACCTTGACTTGCTCGAACGACAAATCGATTTTTATTCGAAGGTTCTAAATGTGAAAAAAGAATAATATAAAAGTTAAATAGGGAAATCAAAAAAAAAAAAAGAGAAAGAAAGAAAGAGAAGGAAGAGTTCGTGACGCTGGCAGCCATGATAGGTAATATCTCGTTATCGAGAGTAGATAGCGATCTCTTAAAGTTTACGGCATTTCAAAGGGTATCGATGCTACCGTGTCGAGATTAGTATCGTTTCGATCGTCGTCGTGGATCGTAAAATCACCGAGTCCGTGGTAAAAAGAAACGGTGATAGACACGGTGGGACACGCATCGACGATCGAGCTCAGCTATGATACGGAATTCGTCTCGTGAAATCGGCCGATTCGGACGATCTGGTCGGCGATAAGAAAAGGAAAAAGGGAATACGTTTGTATCTCGCTATATTTCTCCATCTTTTTTTCCCCCGATAAAAAAAGAAAAGGAAGAAAGAGAAAGGACGGGGAAGTGAGTCGAGTGTTAAGAAGACAAGGACAAAAAACGAGAGAAGGAAAGTCAAATTAATTGGATAATAAAGTAAAAAAGAAAAAGATCAAGAAGTTATCAATACACATATACTCATCCACGCACGCCGATAATAGATAAGTAAAAAGTGAATTTTCTGGATGTTGTACGATAAGTAACGTACGATATAGAGTAAAAAAGAGACGGACAGAGATCGGTGAAAATCGAAGTGCAAGGTGCGCTAACGTAATCGATCAGAATGAATATGGCGCTGTGGATGCATATCGATAACGAAATCGATGGATCGATAGGATCAAGGAGCAACGGTGAGCAATATGATTGGATTGGTAGGGAATCGGGTTACGCCGATTTTATGGAAGATGGTGGGGAAAATGATAACAGGATGATGTCGATGTCGTCATCGGCTTATAATCTTGACTCTGTTGCTACTAAAACTTTCGTAGCAAAGACGAAAATGAGGACAACGATGAACGTAGACGAGCAATGCATCATAAACGAGGATCAATGTAGATACTCGAATATCGACAATTTCTTACCGAAACCTTGCAAATCTGGACCCATTGATGTTGAGGATCTGGCAATGTGTTTTCAACAGGAAAATGTAGGAACGCAAGAACCAGTAACTTGCATTACTCGATCAATTTACAGTCAACGTTCCTTTCGGGGTAACCGTATCAACAATTCTTCGTCGTTTTTACAAGATTCTTGCCGATCATGCTCGAAATACATCGACCCAAATTCAATGAGTGATACTCAAGCTCCAACGAACACCATAACGCCTATCGAGACTGTTTCTCATACCTCTTTTTGTATTCCCTTTAAACAGAATAGCGTAGAAGAATTCTATAGATATCCTTTTGAATTCTGCACGGAAGAAAAATGGTTGGAATGTTCTGTTAGTGATCATTGTCCTTTATATGATACGAATTTTTCTAACCAACAATATACCAACAATATTTTACCACCCTGTCTTTATGAGGATTATTTCTGGAAAGAATACATTGATCCTTGGAATTATGTCTTTATGGAGGATGAAAGGGTCATGGAGGATTACTTGTAAGTGAAAATTATCGATTAGGAACTTCAACCCATGTACTTATTTTTTTTTGTATACATGTGTGTGTGTGTGTGTGTGTGTGTGTGTGTGTGTGTGCGTGCGTGCGCGTGCGCGCGCGCTCGCGCGTTTATGTATTTCGTCTTGATCTTGTTAGCGTTAGATTTTTACCGTCATCGAATATGTTTTACGACGAAAGGAAGGGATCTCTAACGGAAATACGTATAGCTAGCGATACCAGATAATAGTAGAACGTTGTGGCGAGAGTTCTTCGTTCTCATGAAGACGTTATTTACGTTATTCTCTTCCACGTTTTTTTTTATCTTTTTCCAAACGAGAAAGAGAAAGAGAGAGGAAGGGAGGAAAGAAGGGAGAGGGAAAGAGAGATAGAGAGAAGGACGGACATGAGTTTATTCCGTTAGTTACACCACGTTGGGGCTAAGATATAACGCGTGATTCAGAAAAATAGAATTGATGGTTTAGAAATAGAAAAATGGTTGAATTTTTTCCATTAGCTATATATAAAAACTTCTCTTTAGCAATTCTTCGATTTATATTTGCAAGCCTGTTAAAATATGACACCATGACACATACATATACGTATAATATATATTCATTTAAGGATTATATTGATTTTATTCTGCATGTATATAGAAACTTTTTATTTTTATTACATAGGATATGAACAGTTGACTAAATATACTATTGGACTTTACCGATAAACGGATTTGAAAACGGTACTACCCAAGCATTGGGTATTACCCGGTCGACACCTCAAGTTGTTTTATGACTAATATCATTTCCTTTATTTTCGATTAGTTTGAATTGTGTTAATATGCAAGTTAGATAAGTTACAAGAATTGATTTAAAAAGAAAGAGAGAGAAAGAGAGAGAGAGAAGAGAGAGGAGAGAGAGAGAGAGAAGAAACGTATAGTACAAAGTTCATTTTCCGACAGTGATAATGTTAATACTCTTACTGCTCGACGTTTCGAATTTTTTATCCATTTGTAAAATGTATAAAATGTTAATAATAAATAAAAAAAAATTTGTATTCTTGTCAAGTAATGAGATGATTGATACGTGTACTTACTCAATTTATTTTTCTGTTCTATTTTTTTTCTTTTTTTTTTTTGTAATGATCGTCAATAAATTTGATTACAATATTAATATTCTCTGTTATTTATTCATTTATTAATTTATTTTTCTTTTTCTTTTATAGGAGCAACGAGAAAAGGAAAGAACGATCTCGTGATGCGGCAAGATGTCGACGAAGCAGAGAGACCGACATTTTTACTGAGCTCGCTGCTGCATTGCCGGTGTCTCAGGATCAGGCGGCTCATCTAGATAAAGCCAGCGTCATGAGACTTGCCATAGCTTATCTCAAAGTTCGAGCGGTCGTTGATTCCAGTGAGTTTCTTCCGTGTAAACTCTCTCTTATATCCAAATTATTTATAAATCTTTTATATATCTCTGTATAGAAAAAGAAGGATAGATGGAAGAATATCGATTGATATGTTGCTTCTTATATTTTCCTTTTTTTTTTTTTCATTTTTTTTTCTTTTTTACTTTCAGTACCAGGCACAGTCGCAAAGACAGAAACGTCCGTGAAAATGGACGAATTATTTCCGGAAGCTTTGAATGGATTCATGCTGGTATTGTCGAACGATGGAAATATGGTTTATCTATCGGAAAATGTTAGCGAATATCTCGGAGTATCGCAGGTACCTGCATATATGTATTCATTTGTAGTACATATCTTTTACATTTATAAAACGTATGAATGTATATGTCTATGTGTATGTGTGTCCACGTGTACAACGCAGATCGAGGACGACGATCGTCGTCATTTTATTTTATATTCTATTGGTTTGGGTCGATAAACTCGCGTCATGCATGCAAATGGCTATCGATAACGTCAACGATAGATTTTCGATTCAATAGCATGCTTCTTATTATTCGGAATCTTATACACGTATGTGTTTGCATAATCGGTATACTTATGAGATTTTTCTCTCTCTCTCTCTCCCTCTCTCTCTCTATATATATATATATATCTTTGTCTTTCTCTTTTTTCTCTCTTTCTCTCTTTTTTACGTTCTCTTTTTTCTTACTTAGATGGATATGATGGGACAAAGTGTGTACGAATACAGTCACCCATGCGATCATGATGAGTTACGCGAGTGTCTTTCTTCGAAGCCTATCGAAGATAACGACAAACGCTCGTGCAGTTTTTTTCTCAGATTAAAGTGCACATTAACCAGTAAAGGAAGAAAAGTCAATTTAAAGAGTGCCTCTTACAAAGTACGAAAAGTTTTTTTCAATCTCAAGAGATTTCAAAGAAAGATCCTTTTTTTAATAAATGATCTAATAAAATCGATCTAATATTTCAGGTAATCCATTGTATTGGCCGTTTGACGAACATCCATGATTCCAATTCCAATTCCGTAAACGTTGAAAAAGAAAAGGATGTCTCCTCGGACAAGGATGAGATCGAACATGAGACTGGACCGTCTTTGATTCTCGTTGGGTGTCCTATACCACATCCTAGTAATATCGAAATACCTTTAGGACGTCAAACATTTTTATCGAAGTACAGCCTCAGCATGAAATTCACTTATGCCGATGAAAAGTAAGTCGATTTTATAGATATTTATTCTTAGATTGGATTAATATCATCGATAGGATATAAACGAATTTCGATTTCTCCTTTTTTTTTTTTTTCTTTTTGTTTTCTTTGGACAGATTAGCGGAATATCTTGGTTGGGACAGCGAGGAATTGATGGGACAATCAGTTTTTGAGTTCCATCATGCTCTCGATAACTTGGCCCTCGACAAATCCTTCAAATCTCGTAAGTGGTATTTTTCGAAATATACTTAATTTTACTTTTCGAACAATAATTCATTGAGTATTCCAATAAATTAATTTTAGTTTTTATTGCTTTCTCACATATTGATACCGAAACGAAAAAAAAAAAACGTAGATTTTGTTACTTAGGAATTGTTATCTCCATTTATTCAGAAAATCCTTTTTACTTAGGGTTATTGACTTCGAAGCAAAAATAGATATTCGCGATATAACTTTTTGTGGTCAGGGGTTGGCTCACACTAATCTTGAATGATCTATATTTTACGTAAAAGGCTTGACGGTTTACGTTCTCTCCTACCCTTCTGTAAAGAGAAGATAAAACGATTTTTCTCGGAAGGATGATGCTTTTTTTTGAATGCCAAGGATACATTTATTATGTATTATTCCAAAAATTATGTTAAATAGTATGATAAAGTTTATCGATAAATTTATTTATTGCTCAACTTAAGATCACTACTAATTATGAACATCCTTCGATTATTTATGACTATTAAATGTCACATTTGTTAATGAGGCATCACTTAATACTTCGTCGATAATAGTAAAAAATTTTACAATCCATACGTTAGTCAACACATTCTCACGTGTTTGCATCAAGAAAAATGTTGCCTACCGAAGGGGCTTAACAAATTTTTTACTGATAGATGGCGTTTGCGATCATAATTATCGACCAAGTAAAGAGTGATGCCTATTTTCAGGCGGGATATTTAACATTTTTATAAATAATTACAAATTTATATAAATAATTTATTCAACATGACATGCATTTTGGAGATATTTATTCCTTACAAATTTTCATGATTTAGAATGTATGAAAAAAATATTTTCCATTATCGATTAAAAATTATCATAGAATATCAGAGATAAATGCAAAAGTAATAAAAAAATCATTAGAATAAAATTAATAAACAGATTAGGATTTAGAAAGAATGCCATCAGTATTTCATCAGCCATGAATGTGCAGAACGTACACATCGAGAGCGTATATAAAGTGATAGCATCTTGTCGCCCAATCGTATTCCTCGCAGGTTATTTCATCATTGCTGATCCTTTCTTCGTTACTGTTTCAGTCTTCAGCAAAGGACAGTGCGAAACAGTGGCCTACCGTTTCTTGGGCAAGAAGGGTGGATACGCTTGGGTGGTCACACAAGCTACCCTTATTCACTGCTCTAAACAACATAAGCCGCTCTCCGTTGTCTGTGTGAATTACATCTTAAGGTAGGATCAATGATTTATAATGGAATTCTTTTTTTATTGCTCGTTTCTAATTTGATTTTGATCTTTGACCAATTCGCTGTTCCTTAATATTTCATGACGAGATATTACTTATTAATCTTTAAACCAGTACATATCCTTTAACATTTAATTAATTTAATTATGTTAAAGCATGGTATATCAATCTCATTACAAACATAAAATTAAATTAAATTAAATTGAATTGAATTGAATTGAATTGAATTGAATTAATAACGATTTGTAAAAATTTCAAAGTGTTAGGTTACTTTTAGATCTTTTATTACATATATTTTGTTCGACTCGAGTTTGTTTATTAAAAGAAAAGATTGATTTTTAAAAATATTCCTGGTAAATGAAAGATCTCTAATTCTGTCTCATCTGAATTTTATTCGATTCTTTTAAAATTTCATTCTCGTAGAGGTTTGTTGCGTCATCGGAGGTATGCAAGGGTCAATAACCTTGTCCCGTTCGATGGGCTTGCATCATTTTGAATTCTTTGTGCTCTGAGCCATGATATTAGTCCGTCTAACTGAAATGATGATCTTCATTCGTTACAATTACGAAAATATTATAATTTGTAAATGAATATGAATTTGTAAATGAATTTGAAATTTCAATTTATTTCTATTTTCTTATCATCTTTTGTGAAATAGTTTTGGAATGTATTATGTGTCATGCTTGATACTGACGCAACGATTTCCAGGTAAGTGTATATCTTTTCTTTCAACAGTAGCACGATCATATGCATGCATGCGAATAAAAATTCAATCTTGGCTTTTATTTACAAAGGAACAGCGAAAATTGATCAATATTACTTTTTCTTTTTATTATTCTTCTTCTTTTTCCTGTTTTTTACCATCTTTCTCTTCCTTATCTTACTCTTTCCTCAAGTGTAATTTTCTCATTTCTTTCTATCCGGATGACACTTGGTTCGTCCGAAATGATCTTCTTTCTTTTACGAGGCAAGTACCATCCTGCAAATTGGACGACTCTAGATTGGAAGATATATTCTTTATCTCTCTTTTTTCTTTTTTTTTTTATTCTTCTGAACTATACGAGAGAATGTATGGTCATGTATACTTACAGTAGATAAGCTTCTATATAGTGATATCGTAAGTCTTATATCAAACCTCTAATACATTGTGTGACGAATCGTAATCGATCGTGAGTGCAACTTCGAATAAATGAATGAATGAATAAACGAAACGAACGAACAAACGAAAAAGCGTATTTCAATCTTGTTTCTCGTATTTCCTATATATTTATTTATTTCTTAAATTTACAAGTGAACTTAAAAATTGAACGTTCGATCATTTTATTTATAATTTGTTTTTTATTTTTTTGTTAATACGATAAAAAGAAGAAACATAAAGAACTTAAATCAAGACTTTTCACACGAGTTAGTCGTTTGCTTCGATAAAACGTATTACTACATAGTAGCAATGGGTGGAACAGAGAACGTAATAACTTTCACTATCGGAAAACAAATAAAACGAAGTCCCTCTCAGGGCACTTTTCCCCTGGCCTGTTTAATCTCCGCAATAGTTCCGGAATGTTACCCACCCTTTGCCAATGGTCTTCGTACTACTATCACCACCACCACTACCATCAGCTCTACTATCACTATCAGAAATAGCAAGCTCTCTCTCTCTTTTTCTCTCTCTCTTTTTCTCTCTCTCTCTCTTTCTCTCTTCCCTCCCCCCTATTTCTCTCTCTCTCTCTCTCTCTCTCTCTCTCTCTCTCTCGATCCTCTGAACATTTGGAGCATTACACGCGCCGGCGAAGTAGAGGACGTAGAACCTGGTGGCCCACATAAAACCGCCCCTTTCTGGCTACCCTAGTCACATTCACCTCCTTGGATTCTCTTCTCTTTTCTCTTCTCCCTCTTTCGTGATGCTCGTTACGCGCGCGCGTATAAGATTCAAGGTTCACTTTACATTCTCTCTTTCTCTCTTTCTCTCTGTCTGTCTCTCTCTCTTTCTCTATCTTTTTCTCTCTTTTCTTCCCTCATCCTCACTCTTTTTCAAATGCTTCGTCTCATCCTCCATTTCTTTCTCATCCCTTGGTCGAGTAGAAGGTTTTACTCCTTACGATCTTACGTAAGATCGAAGCTATCCTCATAGCCATTGGAATTCAGCTGACGTCGCGAGAACTGTCAGATCCAAACTCTTTTTTTTCTTTTTCTCCCTTTGCTTCTTTTGTTTTCATCTTCCGATTTTATGTGCCTATAAATTTGACGATGGACTCCGTAACTTTAAGTATTCTTCTTATTATCACTTTTATTTAATAATAAAATTATTGACGTAATTAATCTGAATTTATACGAGATCTTTAATATATGTCTTTCAAATTTGTTACATAGATATACATAAAGATACTATATGTCTGTTGATTAACTTTGTGCATCAATATCTATGTGTGTTTTAGTCTAATCACTTAAAAAAAAATATATATATATATAATCTTCTATAATTTTCCAAACAAAAGATCGCGTTCGAGAAAAGTCTAAGTTCATTGAAAAGAATCTTTTTTACGATCACGTAACTGTCGCTATATTTACGAGACATAGATTAACATTTTCAAAAAACGTCTTTCGAAAGCTGAGAAAGAGAGGTGGATTTTACAGAGCTCGTGGTGGTGGTATTTTCTCTCTCCTTCCCTCTCTCTCTCTTTCTCTCTCTCTCTCTCTCTCTCTCTCTCTCTCTCTCTCTCTCTCTCTCTCTCTCTTTCTTTCTCCTTTTTGCACTCGAAGGAGGAGGACGCGCTTGCGTAGGAAGCACCTCTCGTCCTGTCAACCGGAAGGCGGCTTTCCTCCTCTTCGTCGATATTTTCTACGCCAGTCGAGGAAACGTGCGACCTCGAACGAAAGTGAGAGCTACCATCTCTATCGTGGGTGAAAGTCACGGCTTTAGCTACATAAATTTTTTCTCCACTCGTCGTGCATTGATATTAATTTCTTCTTCTTTTTTTTTTTTTTTTTTTTTTTTTTCCTTTCTTTTTGGTTCCAATTTTGTTGTTGTTGCTTTTCTTTTAAATAGATATCTTGTTGCATTGAAAGAAAAAAGAAAAGGAAAGGAAGAAAATTCTTCTCGATGGACGTGTTCGAATAAAGGAAATAAAATTCTAATTGAGTGATATATATTTAACTTGTGTGACGTATAGTATATCTCATTCGTACGTATAGATATTTCCATTGCAAACATGATTCTTAGTCTCTTCTTCTACATTGTTCTCTTTTAACGAGCAGGATGTAATTAACTTCCTTCTTAATCGTATTTTCTAGAGAACGTTCAAACACGTATCCATTCGTTTGTTTTTCTTAGAACGCCTTATCTGTCTTTTTGTTGCTTTTAATACCGCAATGTTTGTGCAAATTGATTTAATGGAATGTCTTCTTTTTATTTCTTTCTTTGCGACTGATAGAACATGAGATATGTATATATCTATTTACACGCTCGTCTAATAGTAATTAGAGCTGATCTAATCGAAGAAATTAACGATATGATATACGTATATACGTAGTATATATATATATATATACATATATATATATATATATTGTGATATACACACAATATATATATATATATACATATATATATATATATATATATATATATATATATTCTGTGTATATCCATTTATATGTATGATCATATTTATTAGTTTTCTTTTTCTGAATTGTAATCGAAGTACATTATTGGAAAAATATGAAACTTGAAACTTTGTCATTGATACATAACATTATCAATTCTCTGAACGTACGATTGTAATATAAAGGTAAATAATTTCGCACACATTTTCATAGAATCGACTTGAAAAAAAGAAAATATAATTCGAGAAAAATATAAAGGGCTGATTTGATCTATATTATTTTATTATTTATTTTCTAATGTACACCTTCTAATCTAGTAATTTTTATAAAGTTTGACGTTTTTACGTCGTTTAGTTATTATCGCAATGATACGTTAAGATCTTAATAGTAATAAAGCTTGATCGTCTTATACAGACTGATAAGAGAGAGAGCCGGTGATCGTCTTCCTTGAAATCGTAGAAATCGAGTTCATTTCTAACGCCAAGCCGATCATAAGCTACATGCGAATGAATTTCTTTGGAACGCAGAGATACACGTACCTAGGTATGGATATATACATGGTGACGACGAAATACGATACTCGAATATTTCTCTCTCTCTCACTCTCTTTTTGCCCTCTTTCTTTCTTTAGCAGAGTTACTTCCGTTCTCTCATAGTCAGATTTTATAGCAACTATATCTTGACAGTATGGCTCGGCTGCCTTCGCTGAATAGTACACGTAAATCTGCAACGAGCGTAACTTCCTGTCAGAAAGAGAAAAAAAATGCGGAGGGAGAGATCATCTCTCAGTCACTCTCTCTTTCTCTCTCTCTCTCTCTCTTTCTCTCTCTCTCTCTCTCTCTCTCTCTTTTTCGCTTTCTGTCTCTTTCCTTCTCTTTCTCTGCGGATATATCGCATTGAGCGAAACCGATAAATGTGGGCGTGGGTCGCTGGAACGAGACAAGAGTTTGGCGGAAGTCGTGGCAAGTTGAACGACGTCGTTGAGGTACAAAGAAAGAAAATTAAAGAAATAAAAAATAAAGAGAGAGAGAGAAAGAGAGAGAGAGAGAGAGAGAGAGAGAGAGAGAGATGACTTCCTTTCTTTAGATGTTTTCTTTGGTTGAAAAATTCTTCTGTAAAGTACGTAGGTTTCACGTAACGATTATAGTTCTCGATCTTAAAATTTTATATTGAGAGATCTTAGTACTTATTGCAGCTAAATTTGGATTATGCATCACATTTTCTTCGTGAGAATCTAACGAAATTTGTGTTGGTTAACGTAAGCAAAGACGACGACGACGACGACGACTACGATTATATGCAGTCGTGTCTCTCTCAAAATAAACAACGGCTTTTAATATCGGCCGGTGCATGTTATATCGTTGTTTGTAGTTTTGATCACGATCAG